TGTGTTTATCGGCCAGGCTCGCACAATAAACTATCTCACAGGGCTTTTCCAAAAGGAAGTAGCGATGTCATGGACTTTTGTTTTCATTTTCATCCTTTTGCCTGGGTTGGTAGAGGGGGAACTAGAGTTGAGAAGGATATAGAGAAAAATGAAAATAAGTTCTATTTTGTCCTTTGCTTCATCTGAACCCACCAATTTTCAGTTTCACTCAACTATTTCAATATAACCACTGCAGTCTCCATCTCTTTATCATTTACTGCTCCTGCTTCAAAGATGGCTCATCATTTTTAGCTGAAAGGGTGGGGGTGGGGCCAGTAAGGAAAATTGACCAAACTCTCTCTTCTGTTAATGCTACACATGCTCTATCTGCATAGTCCTATCCAGTCTCCTTTGGTGAGAGCATCAGAGAATTAGGTAGGCGAGAGTCTCAGAGACTTAGGTAAAAGAGTGATTTTAAAAAGTTTCAGTCCACTACAATAGCCCTCAAAGCAAGTACAGTGTCCATGATGGGCAAACATTTCCTTGCCTTTTTCTCACCATGCAGTTTTTAATTTTCTTAAAGTTTCTTCCTAATAAGCCCTTTGGATCAACCTGTGCCCTTTGAGAAAATCTGTCAATACTGTGCCTTTAGAGTCCTAGTAAGAAGGCTCTTAGCTTTCTGACTTGACCTTTCTGCCTTGAACTTAACTGGCCTGGCAGATCCCCTCAAAAGCCACTGTCTGGTTGAATCTTTTTCTGAGGGCACCCTACCGAGTCTAAGACTGAGCAAACTTGTGTGCAGTCCATTGGCTAATGGAATAAACTCACATTGTATAACCTGAACAGCATTAGCAATACTTTTTGGCTCGTCCTTGGGTTTTTGTTTTTCCTTTTTTAAAGATAATTTTATTGGGGGCTCTTATAACACAATCCATACATCGATTATATCAAACATTTGTACGTAAGTTGCCACCATGATTTTCTAAACATTATATTTTATTTGAGCTGTTGGTATGGGCTCCTCTTTTTACTCTCCCTCCTTCCCCTCCCACCCCATAAATTATAAATTATTATCTTCATATCTTACACCGACTGCTGTCTCCCTTCCCCCACGGTTTCTTTGCCCTCCTCTTCTCCACCTTCTCCCTACCCTCCTGAAACCACTACTTCCATTTCTGTCCTGTGGGGTTTATCTGATCTGGATTCTGTGTGTCCTGACCTCTTATCTATACTTGTCTGCGTGCTCCGGCCGAGCCTGCAGTGTAAGGCAGAATTATCACCTGTGTGTTTTTGAGCCAATTATTTATGAGCATCCTTATGAGTATCTCCTTCCTTTGATCCTGACTCATAGGCCTAAAGTGGAAAGTACCTTATGTCTGGAAAATACCAATGAAGAAAAGACATAGATGGGTGTGAGATATACTGTACAGATGATTGTCACTTTTGGGATGTTTATGAACTAGGAAAGGATGAGTTTAGGTTTCTCCCAAATAGCCTTAAACTATGCTGAAGCACTTTAAAATGAGTATCTTTCTGGGCTGCCTTGATAATTTTGAAACCAGTACCAGTAAGCATTTATGTCACAATCACTTTCACTGACTATTCTAAGCTATTTTACACTGGTGTGTCAACTACTGATTTCTCAAATCATTGTTATGGTAATATCAATGGAACTTAGAAACAAAAGACTCTCTACCACAGAAGCCTGAGAGATGTAGATGGATCTGTTTATTTTTGTCCCTACAGTATCAACATGCAGTGCAGCAGCAACAGATCCTTCAACAACAGTTTTTAATGCATTCGATGTATCAGCAGCAACCCACGGCATCACAATACTCTACAATGGTAAGTGGATAGTTGTTTGAGAGATATGTTCGTATACATTGAAGTGTTTGAATGAATTGCATGTGTTACTATTCAGTTTTGTTAATTGATGCATTTAGTCAAAACCACTCATGTATTTTTTAAGCCTCCTTAAATTTGGCTGGACTACAGAACCTAAATTTGGTACATTATAATTGGCTCATAACAGATGGGAAATTATACGCTACCCTTGATCTTTTGACATTGCATCTTCGATTCAGTATACGTACATCTACTGAACGAGAAGATAGGAAGGAAAGAAACCCTGAAGAAAATGAGTGATTTTAAGCTGTTCTATTGTCTTTCTCTTAAAGTATTTAAATCCCGTCCAATTAGCTTAGCTTCATAACTTAAAATAGATTCTTTTTTCTTGCTGTGCTTTTTCAGTAGCAGAGCTGCTCCTTCATATATCACTTGTTTTTCAGGTTGCTTGTGTGGCGTTGAGCACTCTTTTTTGTAACATGGCATTTTTTGTTTCAGATGCAGCAGTATCAGCAAACCTTGCAGCAACAGATGCTAGCTCAGCATCAGCAGCCTCAACAGCCAGCATCTCCGGAATATCTGACTTCCCCTCAAGAGTTCTCACCAGCCCTGGTCTCCTACCCGTCATCACTTCCAGCTCAGGTTGGAACCATTATGGACTCCTCTTACAGTGCCAATAGGCAAGTATTTTTCCAATGACCGCAAATGGAATTTTTAAAAACTCATTTCATTGGGCTCTCATGCAGCTCTTATCACAATCCATACATCCCTTCATTGTGTCACACATTTATACATTTGTTTCCATCATCATTTTCAAAACACTGTCTTTCTACTTGAGCCCTGGTATCAGCGCCTCATTTTTCCCCCTCCCTTCCCGACCCTCCCTTCCTCCCGAACCCTTAAAAATTTATAAATTGTTATTATTTTTTCATGTCTTAGACTGACCCATGTCTCCCTTCACCCACTTTTCTGTTGTCCGTCCCTCAGGGAGGGGGTTATATGTAGATCTTTGTGATCAGTTTCCCTTTCTCCCCTCACCTTCCCCTTTCCCTCCTGGCATCGCTACTCGGCCCTGAGAGGTTTATCTGTCCTGGATTCCCTGTGTTTCCATCTCTTATCTGTACCGGTATACATGCTCTGGTCTAGTTGGATCTGTAAGGTAGACTTGGGATCATGATAGTGGGGGGAAAGAAGCATTAAAGAACTAGAGGAAAGATGTATGTTTCATTGGTGCTATACTATAAACTGATTGGATCATCTCTTCCTTGTGACCCTTCTGTAAGGGGGTGTCCAAGATGGGCTTTGGGTCTTTACTCTGCACTCCCCTTCATTTACATTGATGTGATTTTTTGTTGTGGGTCTGCAAAGAGAATTATTGTGGAAGTGGAGCGTGGAACGGGCTTGTTAAGTGGCTCCTGCTGTAAATTAAAGAGAGCCCATCTTCCTGCAGGATCAACTCTTCCTCTTCATTCTTTCTTCTGGTTTTTATGTTTTTCCATCCTTCCATTCCCCTCAGTTAATTCTGCTAACCGCTACTTGAAAATAAGACTCAGAGACATCTATAGCAGCATTTAGGGCTAAGAAAAATTATTGGCTTCAGTGTTATTGTATTCTTTGTAATTTCAATAGAAACAAACCTTAATCAGCTACTTTGCTAGTTCTGAAAAAAAATCCTATTATGCAACTTAAAATAACAACTCTGAGGGAGAAAGATGATGCTTCCTACTCCTGTAAAGAGTCAGTCTCAGATACCCACAGCATCAGTTAGATGGGGGTGGTGGGGTGCGTGTGCTTGTGTGTGTGTATGTATGTGTGTGTGTGTATGGTTAAGGTGAGTTGGAATCAACTCGATGGTACTGTTTTTATTTGTTCTCTTTCAGCAGGCTTCCAGATCCACAGCAGGAAATAAATGATGGCGTTTTGGTTACTAGAACTCTAAATCAATTCTCATACAATACTATTTCAGGACTTGAAACATCAGCTGGATAAAAGATATGACTAAGGATAAAGTTGTGACTAAGATGTGGGCAGACTACTATTTTGACAAAGGAATAATTTATCTGGTTTACTGTAGCACTAGTGATCCAAGAGGGAGACAGGAAGGTTGCTACAATATCTTTTATGATCTGTTCTTAGAAGTTATACACTTATATCCCTGCCACATTTGATTTATTAGCAATGAGGCACTAGATCTAACCCTCTTTCAAGCACATGGGAATTCGGTCTTAACTTTTGCAAGAAATAATGTCAAAAAACTTGAAGTTGGTTGCATAGCAGTTACTCGTTGGGCTGTGATTCTGCAAAGCAAGCAGCTTGAAACCACAGCCACTCTGCAGGAGAAAGACGTAGCTTTCTACTCCTGTGAAGAGTTACAGTCTCAGAAACTTACAGAGGCAATTCTACCCTGTCCTATAGGGTCTCTATGAGTTGTCATTGGCTTGATGGCCAATAGCATAGTCTACAGCATAGTTTATAGCATACAGTCTGACAAGAAGAATATATCATGTCATTCTAGGGACAGGAAATGGTGGATTTTCCTGCTTTGAGGGCTCAGAAAGTTCAAAAAGGCTCATTGGCAAGCACAAGGGAAATGCTCATCTGTTTATCTCTCTGAGTTTCACCCAGTCTGATTTTTGGCTCAAGACCTCTGAACCAGTGGTCCTAAGCTCTGGATTATACTTAAGGACTGAAAATTGTTTAGATCACAGAAAATAACCCTTATCTAACGCTATGTAATTCATAAATCAATCCTAACAGTTTACCTTTTGGAACTTTTCCTCCAACTCTTTGAGCCCTCTCATATGAGACCTTTTTAGTTAATAGTGATTTTGCCATGTTCGTGGTGATAATAATATCTAATACGGTTTATTTTGCCTCAGGTACGGTTTTCTTTATGCTTTCCATGGACTAACTCATTTAATTATCTTAGTAACTCTAGGAGGTGGTGATCCTTAACTACCATTGAGTTGACCCAAACTCAGCGAATGAAGTACGTTCTGTTATTCTTACTTTCAGATGAGGGGATTGAGGCAGAGAGAGGTTAAAGAACTTGCCCATATTCCTTGTGGAAGTGCTGGTATTCAAATTCAGAGTGATTTCTCCCTAAAGCCAGTGCTGTTATCTGCTATCTTCACCATATGGGGGGAAAAAAAGGGTGGTTTTCTAATCATTTATAATGTATGAACTAGAGCAGTAAGTTTTCTTAACTCTAATGTATCTCCCCTCTTATTACTGTAGATCAGTTGGTGATAAAGAAGCAGTTACAAATTTTACAAATCTGAAGAACATCAGCAACCCACCTGATATGTCAGGGTGGAACCCTTTTGGAGAGGATAATTTCTCCAAGTTAACAGAAGAGGAACTCTTGGACAGAGAATTTGACCTTCTGAGATCAAGTAAGGGACACTTGAAGGCTTATTTTGCTTCACAGTAGAGTAACAACTCTATAAATATTCTGCAAGGCCAAAGAACTGCTTTGAGATGGTGTTTGGAAATTCTTTTTTGCATTTGAGGGCAAAATTCAGGTCACTGTCTTTTATACATACTATTAAACTGTGTGGTGTGCATTGGGAATCAATTGCTTGGTGTAGTAGCTAATAACCCTAAGATTGCTGATAGTATGGCAACTATCCTAACACTTAAATATTGCCTATCTATGAATGTCCAATTCAGAGTACCTCCAGAATAATGGAAATGATTAATGCTCAAATAAAGGGAAACAACAGTATCTTCTTGCCTACCTAGTCACTTTGTAGCTCCGCTTTCTTGCACACTCAGTGGAAGATAATGTGGGTCTGAGATGCCCTTTGAAAATGCTTGAAAGAAAACCTAAGCTCCTACATTATGTTAATGTTTGTCATTCCCTTTGATGAATGGCCACGTACAAGGGCTGCTTTGATGTCCTGACATGGCAAAGGTTAAATAAATTCTTTTCCACTTTGAATCAGATATCTCAATGTTTTTACTTGCAATCATTGCTTTTTCTTAAGTTACCTAATATTAATATATATGTCAAGTTTTACCGTATACATACTTTAAAAAGCTTATTTTTGGAAGAAGGCTGCAAAGTAGCATAAATATGACTTCTACAATACGCAGATAATGTTCAGGTACTGGAGACGTGGATGCATATGTATGGGAAGAGGTGTGGATTCTCCCAGGCTCTCTTTTTCCAGGTGGTAAGAAGATCTTAGTAGTCCCAGGTTTACGGTTTCTAGTTTATATTTTATTTCTTGCCAGTATGAGACCATTTCTTCTTAAAATGCTTTGTTCCAAATTGGTATATATTTTATTTAAAATTTATGCCTTCCCCAAATTCACGGATCAGTAGTTGTTAGGAATTTGAGTTTGTATTTTACATATTGGTTATATGATCAAAAAAACTAAATTGATGATTAATTCCAGATATAAAAATGAGTTCTGGACCTTTAATAAAGATTTGTTATCTTTGGTAGAACTAGTTTACATCTGATTATTAAAAGAAAAAAATTTAAAACCACAACTCTTTTTGTGTAGTGCTTTTTTCTAGAACTTGTGTGTGTTCCCCAAAGCAAAAAAAAAAAAATTTTTTTTTAACGGAAAAAAGTATCTATTTTGTGGGACATGATACAGACAATTGAGAGATGATTTATAGGATTACTTAAAAATCAAAGGAGAATTAGGATATTTATTTTTATGTATTCTGATCAGAGTAATAACTAAGGTTTGTAGTAAATCAGTATTTTCTCCATGGGTAATTGATTACTTAGTCTTTAAAAATATTAACTTATGAAATAGATGAATATTCTCTTGTACCTTGAAAAGTGTATTCTCATGAAAATGTTATTCTAAGTTCCTTAAGCTTTTTTTTTTTTTTTTTTTAGTTCCTTAAGCTTTGTAATGACATCCACTTGCTTTTTTACCTGGCATAGGCTTGAATAGCAGATATATATATTTATTCACAAAAGTTGGGATAAGAATATAAACCTTTTCACCAGTCATTTACTTTCAAATTTGAATGTCAGATAACAATTATGTGTAACTTGTGTGCATACATGTGTATGCCAGGAGGATTCAGTTTGCATTCCAGTTGTTAATCACGGACAGTGTTAAATTCCCAGTGAAAGTGCGGGGACAGCTTTTTCTGACGGTCACCTTTGGAGCAACTTCAAGCATTTGGAACACTGACTAGATGGTCCTGGGAAGCAGGAATTGTGATCCCTGGCATGTCACTAGGCTGTAATCTTGCCACAATCACTGCGCCATGACATCTTACTTCCTCATCTGTACAGTGGGCGTGCATGGTCATGCCTGCTTCACAGAATTGTCAAGAAAATCAAATAAAACTTGGTCTAGGAGGGGATTGTTTGCTTCTGTAACAGACTGCTGACCTTCAACCAACATTTTTAACTTTATTTATTTACTTAATGAGGTTTTCCAATTGCAATTTAGGGATTTTTCTGGACACTTTGGTAGCAGAAAAGACAGGTGGCGGCAGGGAAAGAAAGGAAAAAAATGTCCTTTTCCTGGTATAATTGAAAGTCATGAGCATGGAGTTGAAAAAGGTCAATACCTTGTATATAAGTTATAAAGAAATCAAGGCTATGTAGAATTTAGGATAGAAAGATTATTTCCCAAAGTTTTGCTTAACTTGTCATTTAGTCACCTGAAATACCAATAAGGTATTTAATATTTGATCTGCTTGATAGGGTCTAAATTGCACTGATGGACAAAATACTTCTAGAACCTTGACATCTCAATAAAAGACTGTGCAAAAAAACCTGATGGTTGGCTCTTACTGGTTGGTTCCTTTCTCCCTCACAATTTATATTTCCAAATGAATAAACTGTTGTATTTGAGATTCAAGTAGAATATTTGTACCTTTTATATCACCGTAGATATTTATCAGCAGTTCCCCAAAGTTCTTTCTACGAGAGTTGATGTAGTGCTTTCCCATGGAGAAACTGAGTACCTTCATACGTGATTTGTAGAGTACAGGCATTGCCTTTGCTTTGATTGTTCAGAGTGCATTGCCATTCAGCTTTTAATATCTACATGGTTTTATATTTTAAATAATGAAGAAAATATGTTGGCTAGGAAATCTTGCATGTTTTTCAGAAGCTATTTGAAATACCATAATAGAATTACAAAATAGTATACATTGGTGACAAATACTTTTTTTTTTTTTTTGAGGGGTGACATATAAGCAATTGCTTAATTTTGTGTACCAGGGGGCAAAGAGGCTCAGTGTAGCACAAAAACTGGAATATTTTTTCTTGCTTTGGTTTTCATTGTAATTGAAATTATTATTTATGATGACTAGTTTTTTTAACCTCTTACTATTTAAGTCCAAAACACAAAATGAAGATTAAGCACTAGTAAGAAAATTTATCTTGATACTTTTAAAATTGTAAACTTGTTTTTTCAATATATTTTTTATTATTAAAAAACAATTTTATTGGGGTTCTTATAAAGTCTCTTATCACAATCCATACATCAGTTGTATGAAGTATATTTGTACATATGTTGCTGTCATTATACTTTTTCAGTATTTTGTACCCAAACTTCTAGATTAATATGTAAACTTTCTGAGAGATAATTGTTATATCATTTAATGCATTAAACATGGATTAGAACTAAGTATATGCTTTGAAAACATTTTAAATTTGCATTTGCCAAATGGTTGTATAGCTTTTTACATTAATTAAAAGCAGCCCTTGCTAATTAATTATATTTTGATTGTGGCAAGTGGATTTATTTATTGATTGATCATTTTTGTTTAAAATTCCATCAAAATAACAAAGAGGAAGATAGAAAAAACTAAGGACTACGGCTGCCTTATATACTCTATTGAAGGTCTTCAGTGTTATTTTGTTTCCTGAAATCCCCAAAATGAAATAGATGTCAGCCCGTCTCTATAATTAAAGTCATGGTAAAACAGATAATACAGGCCTATTACTGTTTCTTCATTACAGAATAATAACTTCAAATATATTAGTACTTGAAAAATATTACACAAGGACTACACTTTCAACCTTTATTTATGAGCATTTTGTTATGCATACAATAATCCATATAAGCTGCCAAATTGATTTTTTACTTTAAAATTTAAGAAGTATTTAAAATTTTCTGATGGTAACTATGGAGTATAGTTTGATCCTAGGAGTTTTAAACCCTGTATTTTTCCCATCTGTATCAATTAAAAGTCTTGAAAAAATTTTGCCCTATTCAACACAGTCCCTTTGACAAAACAGGAGGAGGTAAGTTTCTTATATTGGACTAACTAAACTCATAAAGAAAACCAATTATGTGAAAATAGTATTTAAATATATTTTAGGGATAACTTTATTTTGAGAAATAGTTCCTTCATTAGTTTTTTTTTTTAATAATTAAATCATTTTATTGGGGGCTTGTACAACTCATCATAATCCACATATACATCCATGGTGTCAAACACTTGTATATTTGTTTCCCTCATCATTCTCAAAACATTTGCCTTCTACTTGAGCCCTTCGTGTCAGCTCCTCATTTTCCTCCTCCCTCCCCGCTCCCCTCTCCCCCATGAACCCTTGATAATTTATAAATTATTATTATTTTGTCATATCTTGCACTGACCTCTTCCTTCACCCAGTTCTCCACTGTCCATCCCCCAGGGAGGAGGTTATATGTAGATCCTTGTAATCTTTTCCCCCTTTCTCCTTTACACACACCCCCCACCCCCCATTATCACCACTCTCACCACTGGTCCTGAGGGGGTTCATCTGTCCTGGATTCCCTGTGTTTCCAGTTCCTATCTGTACCAGTGTACATCCTCTGGTCCAGCCGGATTTGTAAAGTAATAGAAAATTGATAATGTCAAGGGTTAATATATGTTTTATAGTATTTTGTTCTCGAACCCAGATTATCATGGAAAATCTATGGCATTTTTAAGACCTCCATTGAACCTTGGTTGTATGATTTGAACAACAATGAACATGATTCTTAGTGTCTGTATTCTTGTTTTGAAATACTGAAGAACATAGAATAGTGTCTCCCATATTTTATGTTCTGGGGGGGTCTCTATCAAAAATATTTTTGTACTTACAATAATGGCATAGTGCTGTTTATACAGTTACAATAGGTTTACTATAGATAGATGGAGATAATACACCAGTGCTGAGGATTTAATGAAACTTTGTGATAACTTCAGACTTGTATACGTTGAGAACCATTGTTTACAGTAGTGGAAACGTGTAGAACATATTAAAAATGCAGAATCTCCCACCAGATTCACAAGGCTATTGATATGACAGTGAAAGCCCAAAATCCATTTGTAGGGTCCACACATGGACTAAACCTCTGGTGGACCCTTGCTGACCATAGTTGAGTGATTTGAATAACCTTGCTATCAGACTGAGAGTGGGTTAATTATGGCAAA